TCGATAATAAGAAAAATCAAAAGGGGAGATATAAAGAGATGAACGTGATTTATATTCCTACGCGAAACGCTGTAGGAGAGATTGAGGAAGAGGAGAGAAACTGAATAAATGAAGTGATTGAATAAGTAAAGGGGTTAAAGATGGTTGTACAATTAGGTTCCAGTACCGTAATACGGAATGTGTTTGAAGGGTGGTGATGATGTAGAGCGAGGTAAAAGGGAGAATCGAGGAGGAGAGATGGGAGGGTCTGCGTTGAGCATACGTCCGATAGGGGTAAAAAAAGGAAAATGTCACCCGAGAAGTCAGAGTACTGTCCTCGAGTTTGGTACTCTGCGAAGAAGAGGAAAGGGATATACAGGGCAAATGCAAGAGAGAAAAGGGGGAGGAGAAGAAAGGCGAGGAGTCGAGTTTTATGCTCGTCTTCTCCACCTCTCAATCTCTTCGTCGTCGACTTCATCCACATCATCATCGTCGATGCTATGTACCTGCGGCTGTAGCCCACTCCTGCTACCACCCGCAAGCGCAGCTCTAAACACTTCAGGAGGAGGAAGGGGATACGAGCCCGTGATAGCGACATCCTTTCGGCGAGACGACGGTCGACTAGTATCCTCCGCTCCAACCGCACTATTACTATGCTGATGATGAAGAGTCTGCTGATGATTTTGATTCACACCAGCCGTCGCATTCGCATTCGTTTCCGCAACACCAGCCGCCGCCGCGAGCTCCCGCTTGCGTTTCCGGTCCATCTCCGCGCTCTGGTCCAACGCCGCAATCAAATTATCCATCGCCGCCATCTCCCGCTTCCTCTCCTCCTTGCTCAACTTTTCCTTATCTCCACGCGCACTCTTGGTCTCCTTGCCCGACTTGATGGACGATTGCGAGTAGGTGGATGTGTGTCCGTAATACCCACTAGCACCCGCTCCAGCCGAACCCGGTGGATTTTGGTTTGATACGGATCCGTGTCCCGAGAACCCACGCCGATGCGAGCTCGACACCGAGTTGTTTCTCGAACGGGAGGCAGACGCACCAACGGCCTGAGGCCCACCCATGACAAACTCGGTGGCAGCAGCGGCAGCAGCAGCAGCAGACGAAGTAGCAGCCTGTTGGTCCAAAGAAGCCTTGCGCGCAATCGACCGAATAGACTCGAGGCTAGGCCGGGCATTAATACTCGTGATCGGCTGTCGGGATTCTGGATTCGGACTTGTGAATTGTTGGTGTCTCGATTCGATACCGTACGCTTCATAGCCCGGTCGCGATCCTGCACCGATAAAGTTGGCGCTGTTGGGGGTATTGGGACCGTGACCGTGACTGCTGTTTGCGTGCGAGTCGATATTATAGGGTGCTCCGCTATAAGATGGGATGACGTAGGGAGTGTTGCTCGTGACAGAAGCGTTGTTGTTGGAATAGGGGACGTTATTATTGGTAGACGTGTAT